GAGATGGAGAGCAGGGTAGCAAGCACCTGTTACTCATGAGGTAGTTGGGCAGAGGTCACTAACTTTCAGCAGGCTTAACCCAAAGTGGTTATTTTAAAAGGTGCCCCGGGAAACACAAAGCGGGTACTTACTGTGGGTATCCTCGACTCAAGTTTTTTTCTAAATGCTCAGACTCCAGGTGTGAGTGGTGTTTTTATACTGTAAAACAACTAGGCCGCAACTCAGAAAAATGAAATTGTTTTCCTCATCACATGGAAGGAATTGGGTTTCTCATTCACTGATGATGGGAATGGAAAATGACAACCCTTTTGGAGAAGGTTTGCAGTTAATCACACCGCCATGTGATCTAGCCATTTCACTCCTAAGTATTTGCCCAATGGAAAAGAAAGCATATGTCCATACAAAGACATGTGCACAAATATTCAAAGCAGCTTTATTTGTAATAGCAAACAAACAACCCCCCCAGATATTCATCAATAGATAAACGGATAAACACATTTTATATATACATACAGTGGAAAACTACTTAGCAATGAAAAGGAGTGAACAATTGATGCATGAAACGACAGATGAATCTCAAAGTAATCATGTTGAGTGAAAGCAAAGACAAAAGAGAACATACTGTATAACCTGCATTTATATAAAAATCTAGAAAATGCAAACTAATCTATAGTGACAGAAAGCAGATCAGCAGCTACCTGGGGATGGAGGGGATGTGGAGGACAGGAGGGAGAGATAACACAGGGCACTGAATACGTTCAGTCTCTTGATTCTGGTGACAATTTCACGAGGGTATACACATAGCAAAACACCAAATTGTACACTTTAAATATGTGAAGTTTATTGTACGTAAGTTATACCTCAATAAAGCTGTTAAAAATAACATTTGGAAATGAGACACTGATATATAATATTTGTTAATTTCCTCCTTTATTTGCTTTCTCTTTCATTTAACAGAATTTATTGAGTGTCTTAACTGTGGCAGAAGGTAAAAGAGGAGTGAGATGGTCTGCCTCTAAGCCCAGTAGAGGAGGCAGGCAGTGACAGTTCTGCATGGCGCTCTTGCTGGATATTGTAAGGAACGGCACCAAGAAACGGAGAAGAGCTTAAACAAGCTTTATTTGGGTACGCTCCCGGGCGAGTTTCACTGGTCCGAGAGAAAGGGGCCAGAGAAGTCGCGCCCGGGTGAGGGTTTGGGCAGAATTTATAGGGGAAGAAGGGAAAGGGGTGTGGTGAATCCGGGAGGGCGCAGAGTATTCCTTATTTGGTGGTCTTTTCGGTATCGTGGCAATATCTGGTGCCGGTTGCATCAGTCTTGGGACCGTTAGTCCCGCCCCTCGAAAGGCGGGAAGGCTGGGCCGGGTGGAAAGTCCCCAGGTCAGTTCCTGGAACTGGGTGGTCCAGAAAGTCCCCAGGTCAGTTCCTGGAACTGGGTGGTCCGGAAAGTTTCAGTCTGATGCAACCTGAGTCTGATTGCGTTCCCCTGCCTCGGGCCAGTTGGCCTTACAGATATATCTATAGGAAGCTAAGAAAATGTCAAGATCAGTGTGTGTGTAGGGGCCATTTCTGAGGGCCTTAACTCTGAGCTGCGTTCTGAAGGGTAAGGAAGCGGTTAGGGTCAGTGAGGAGAGGGTGTATGTGTGGTGGCCCCAGCAACTTTGTCTTAAGCAAGGCATGGAGTGAGAGGACAAGGGCTTGCCACAAGAAAGCAAAGTGTAGAGGAGGGGAGCGTTCTGAAACAAGGCAGGATGGGTAAGTAGGGACTGATTACTAAGAGCTTCGGAAGCTGTGATCAGGAATTCGGCTCTGGTATTGAAGGCATGGGGAGCCAGAGAGGCTTTCAAACAAGGAAGAATGAGATCAGATAGCACGGTCATTCAGGTCAAGTTGATAAAGAAAAAATGATATCTCTCCCTTAGATTGTCTCTCATTATGGTTAAGCAAGCATATTTAATTGCTCTCCAAGTCCTGCTAATGGCTTTTCCTGAGTCACGTTCAGATGTGTCCAATTCTTTCCATGCCCTCATCAGTGCTTGCTTGGGTTACCACCACATTCTTCAAGGGATGTCTCCTTCAGTCCAACCTCTCTCTTTCATACCAGCAGCTTAAAACGGTTTTCTAAAACTCAAATCTGATTCCCTCACTCTTCGCTGAAAACCTGATCTTCAGCCTCCAGTCTGCGTCTTACCAGCACTAACTCCATAGTTCCAATAATGATAATCACAGCGTTTACAATATGCCAGGAACTGCGCTAAGTACTTTACTTTTTATCCCATTAAATCCTCCCAATACATTATTATTATTTCACAGAGGAGAACACTGATACTTAGTGTAGGGGAGGAAAAACTTTCCTTTACCCTGTTATGTTCAGTGTCTGGGATCTGCAAGTTAAACTGACAAAAGACAGATTAACAGGAGAAAAAAACACAGAGTTTACACATGCAGTGCATAGGCACATGAGAATTCAGTGATGAATAACTCATAGGGGGTGGTTAAAATTTTGTGTTTATATACCTAACTTAGTAGGTGTTGATGAAAAATTAATTAATAGTCAATCTAAAGAAGAAATAGAGGGTTTTTTCCGAGCCAACCTGAGGATTATAACCCTGGAGACAGTCTTTCAGAAAACTCTGAGGACTGTTCCCCTAGTTAGAAGTCGAAAGCACATTTATATACATTTTTGAGACAAAGGATCGTTCATCAAAATGACACACTGACATTTTACATAACGTTAACCAGAGATACAAAGTCCAGACCTACATGTAGGAAGGGAGCAGCAGGTCACCATGACCCCTTACAGGATTAAGAAAAGAATGTTATCTTCTAAGGAGTTACATTGCTGGCGTCAGAAGGGGAAAAAATGATCTTTATGGTTGAGCAGACATTCCTGCCTTTGAGGAGGTCTGGTTAATGTATAATGTAGATGCATATTGCACATTAGGAAGAGCCCTGTCAGGAAGGGCATCTGCTATGCTTAAATTCTCTTGTCCTGCCTTAAAAAACATATATTTTATTTCATCATAGGTGATGGGGAAGGAGAGAAAGGGCACTTATGGGAGTGACTTTTTGGAAAGATAAATGTTTTTTTTAGGAGAGTAGATAGGAGATATGATAGCCTTGAGACAATGTCTGTTTGGGTGTGGTGCCCACTTCTCAAGTCCAAGAAGATTAAAGTTGTTCTCAAGGAGGAGTTTTATGACAGTTGAGTTCTTTTGGGAGCGTCAGCTTTAGGCAGATAAGAGATTCCAGAAACTCTTTCGCTCAAAATAATTCCTGTGCCACAATGGCATATCCTAATCCCCTTCATTAGGAAGGTTTAATAATGTGCCCAAGGACATACAGCTAATAAGTATAATTAAATAACTTGTTCAAAAAACGCTTAAAAACAAATTTGAGTATGGGGATAAATTTTTTTTACTTGCACTTGCAAGAGTGTCCAGTTATTAGAGAATTGGCTCGTGTACAAAAATGTAGGCACATATTTAAAGGCAAAAATCACAAGGTCAGATGATAGCTCAATTGTTATCAGACAGTTGATGGGTCTGCTTTGTTGCATTTGGGTCAATTTTGATAAAAGCGAGACAGTTCTTTCAATTAAAAAGAACAAAAGGGCGGGACTTCCCTGGCAGTCCAGTGGTTAGGACCAGGCAGCTCCCAATGCAGGGGGCGCCGGTTGCGCAACTAAGATCATCTCGCATGAAAAGTGGCGTGACCAAAAACAAAAAACAAACAAAAAAAACCAACACCAAACAATAGAAAAGAAAATCCACGTTTGTTTCTCAGGGTTTACAGTCTGTTTCTCTTGGCTTATCTGGTTTATCTTATCTTGTAGGAATGTAAGGCCTTTTTTTGGACTATGGAATGAAAGTTTCAGAAAAAACCATTTCAGCTGCACTATAGAGAATGGGATAGAGGAAAGCAGGATTGCAGAGAGACCAGTAGCAGGAATTCAAGCAAGCAATCATAAGGCAGAGGCAGGAGGGATGGAGAGAAGCAGATCGATTTTAAAACTATCACTGGGATAGAATACAGAAGCTGGTTAAAAACAATAATACTTGATTTCCCTGGTGGCGCAGTGGTTAAGAATCTGCCTGCCAATGCAGGGGACACGGGTTCGAGCCCTGGTCCGCGAAGATCACACATGCCGCAGAGCAACTAAGCGTGTGCGCCACAACTACTGAGCCTGCGAGCCACAACTACTGAAGCGCCCCGTGCCTAGAGCCCCTTCTCTGCAACAAGAGAAACCACCGCAATGAGAAGCCCGCGCACGGCAACAAAGAGTAGCCCCCCGCTCGCCGCAACGAGAGAAAGCCCATGCGCAGCAACAAGACCCAAGGCAGCCAAAAATAATGTGGCTTGATTGCTCATCCATTAAAAAAAAAAATCCTTAGACAAATTGATTTTTCAACCGGGGGTGGGGAGTGGGGAGTGGGGGGTGGGCGGCATGCGGGATCTTAGTTCTCTGACCAAGGATGCAACCGCGCCCCCTGCAGTGCAAGCGTGTAATCTTAACCACTGGACTGCCAGAGAAGTCCCTAGACAAACTGATCTTGAACATCTATTAAGAATTATTACTAGCAAGAGAATCAGTGAGTGTTATTGAAATGAGAAGTTACAGTTGAAAAACAAAAAAGATTGTACGTGTATGAAAATTATTATAAAAGGGATGACATATTATGATTTAATTCCAGTTGAATATAAGCGTCATTAAGGGTTTGTGCTGTGTCTATTTTGCTCACCGCTCTATGCCCAGTGCCTAGAAGTGTGATTGACACGAAGCAGATGATCCACGGCTTCAGAGTGGATTTTTTAGAAATCAGTATTTGACATTCCCTTATTTCCCAAATTAGGTCAGGGCGCCGGCTGATTTCGCACTTCCTGTCCCTTTAAGAAGCCCAGGTGAGGGAGAGAAAGTGCTGCCGGGAAGGAGGGCGGAGCAGGAGGGCGGAGCGGGGACGCAGGGCGGGGGTGGGGGTGCTGGGTGTTGGGGGCCGGCTCTGGGGGGGAAGTGGGACCGAGCGTGCAGTTGTAAAGAAGGCGCGAAAAGAGGCGCAAAGGCTAGTGACAGACCTGCCCTGTGCTTAGCTTCCCAGGACGGTGTTAGCACAGCCAGGTAAGGAGAAAAGGAGGACTGTGCCTGCCCCTTTAAGACTGACTCCCGTCCTCCTTCGAGGGAAGTTACGTGCTAACACTTTGTAACTTGCCCCTTTAAACCTGTCTTCTCACCGTACCAGTTAATCCAGGTACCAAGTGTCCACCGCATAATCACATATTCATAACGGATGTTTCATTGGTGCTGGCGTGGGCGGGGCATCATCGGTCTGCATGACAGGGTGTCCAAAATCAATCATCTTGTATTTGCTCTGCTTTCTTTTCAAACCTTAGGCTCGTGAGATTCAAGGGCTGACCCAATCCTTCCCTACACGATTAGTCCAATGAGGTCAGGCCGTTAGAGACCCTGAGATTACAAGGGATAAACGTGGGCTGCACCCACTTAAGTTCTGACCTTGGTTCACAGACAGACATTTTGCCCCTCCTCGTGTCTTGGTATTTTAACTAACTGCCCACGTTTAAAAGTGGGAGTTTATGGGTAAATAGCTGGATTGTTTTGAGAAATTGAAAGATCTATCTGGTCACGTGTCCCCTGGCTGGCTCCTTTGGACTGTTTTGAAATAGTTTCCAGTTTGCCACAGCCCTTCTGTGATCTGACAACCAGCCTGCATCACTCATTTATCACCAGTCTGGCCCTGGGTAGGCATTTGAGTTTGGGGCCCCTACTCTAAGTACTTGGGTGGATGTAAGACTATTTATATATTTATGCAGAACAGATCAGAGGTCCCAAACAACTGGGTGTATAATTTGTGCTTAAACTGCTCTTCCTCGTTCTTATTTTTATCAAGGTGTCTTTCTGTTAAGTCCAGGTTTGGTAAAGATGACTCCTCAGAGGTATTTACAGAGAGAGATTTGGGAGTTGATATTCTTTTATTACAATTAAATCCATAGTTTTTTGTTTGTTTTGTTTTTGTTTGTTTTTAGGAAAACACCTGAATCTTGATTACATTGATGTTTTATGCTAGGACTATCTTTATTGAGCAGTCAGTATAATTTGTGTATCTCTAACCACAGTTACAATTTGGTAATCTGCACAATCTTGGCTAGACTTCATAAAGGCAAGAACTGTGTTTGCCCTGATAATTGCTCTATTCCATCACTAGAATCTAAGCTTCCTGAAGATGGGGACTTTGTTTATTTTGTTCACAGTTGCCAAGCACAGTGCCTGCTTAAAGGGAAGTGATTTATTAAATGAATGAAAGAACTTTAAAGGTGTACCTTATTTTATGTAAAAGGCGTGTTCCTGAGGATTCTCTCAAAATCAGATGCTTGTATATTTGTTGTTGTAAGTTACTGAAAAGGATTCTGTTGTGGAAAGGCATCTTTTAGAAGATTGGATTTTCCTAAATTAATGCACCAGCGCTTTCACCTAAAATGAACTTGCACTTGTGTAGCATCTGCTACAGAGCTAACACTAACATTTTCTTACTATGCAATAGGATTTGGAAGTGTTGGTGAGCCTTGGAGTTTTCAGTATTATTTATGTTTTTAGAGGTCCAGAGATTCCAGTTGAGATCAGTTTGGCAGCCAGACCCTTATTCTTTCCCCAGGAGGAGCAGCTGTTATCAAGAGCAGCACCAACAAACCTGTGCTTTGGGACAGGACCGATGGCCTTGAGCCCAGTTTGGAGAGCGTTTACATCATTTGCCATGAACTGCTGTGGTGTCCTTCGGAAGGCTGTGAGAAGCAGCAGTTTTCCTTTGTTTCCCTGGGGCCACTGCCCCTGGAGGGGAACCGGAAGCTTTTTGGACCCTGAGATGAAAGCTTTCCTGGAGGAGAACACTGAAGTCACCAGCCGTGGTAGCCTCACCCCTGAAATCCAGTTGCGGCTTTTGACCCCCAGATGCAAGTTCTGGTGGGAGAGAGCTGACCTGTGGCCCCACAGTGATCCTTACTGGGCAGTCTACTGGCCAGGAGGCCAAGCCCTGTCTAGGTACGGCCGTAAGTGAAGCGGGAACCTTTAGGGCTCCGCATAGCCTTTCTCTTTTCAGCCCCTTCCAATGCCTTGTTCTCCCTGCTTCTCACAGAAAACCAGAGTAAAACCCCAAATTCTCTTCTTAATTTAGAGCAGTTTAGGAAAAGTTTTGGGTTGCTTTGTTGCATAGCTTTACCTTCTGCTCCAAGCTTATCAAGGTGTTTCCCGATATATAGCTCTCTCCCCAAGAGAAATCCTAGGTCAGCTATCAAGACCCTAGGTAGCTGGTCATGATCCAGAAATCTCACACTGTTCTCAGGTTCATGGTTCATGATGCATGGCCCGTGCAGAGTTCCTCAGTGGAGCTTAAAGCCCCAGTCCTTCAGGTCGCCTGGTTTAATCCTGTAAATATTGCTCCTTAAACCTTACACTTCCTCCATCACTGCCTCTTCCCAGGCTCCCAAAGGATGAGGGATGTGAGTGATTGGGACATTACTCAGGTGAACTCTGGAGTTGCACCTGCATTAAAATTATTTTTTAAAAAATATTTATTTATTTGGCTGCGCTCGGTCTTAGTTGTGGCATACGGGCTCTTAGTTGCGGCACTGCCTCTGCATTTTTAAGGTTCCCCCTTTCTAACTCCCCATACTGCAAAGGTCTTCTTTAGGACATTTTCTCACACATTCACACAGTGCTTTTTATTAAAACAGCCACTGAAACAAAGGCAAGAACTTATAGCATTTTAATCTAGTCTTTGCTCTTAGACTGGTAACTGATTTAATCTTTTTATGCCTTGAGGTTACAAAACTGAAAGGAAAAGGATAAGGACTTCTCTTTCACAGGAATGGTATGGTCTAGCAGAATTCAGGTTGTATATAGTTTTAAATGCAAAATAAATAAATGCAAACATAGAGCTTTTGGAGAATCCTAAGTTCTGGAAAGCTTTCCAATATCTAACAAGTCCAATATTCTGGCTGTTGTGTTGCCAAATTTTCAAGCTTTATTTACTTATATCATTAAAAAGAATACATTTTAAGTGATATCTATGCAAGTTGTTATTTATCAACTCCAAATATAAGTGCCATCAAATTCCTTAAGAGACTTGTCTGAATCAGAGGTCACAAATAGGTGATCCACAGATGTGTTTTCTTTGGCCTTTACTTGTAAACTTAAAAAAAAATCAGTTGCTAACATTTAAAACTTGAGGGATTGCATGTAAAAATTTATTTCGATTTGGAAAAAAAGAATCTCTGGGGAATTCCCAGGTGGTCCAGTGGTTAGGACTCGGCGCTTTCACTGCCTGGCCTGAGTTCAATCCCTGGTCGGGGAACTAAGACGGCACAAGCCACGAGGCAGGGCCAAAAAAAAGAATATCTGATAACACTGGATTTAAATCTCTGATAACACCCCATTTCTGTGGGGCAACAATTAGCTCAAGATGGGTAACAGGTGCCCCTTTTGACAGGGTACTACATCCCCACCTTGCCATAGTTCCTTAGTCTTTTTTTGGCTTGCTGGATCTTAGTTCCCTGATGGGCCCTCAGCAGTGAAAGAGTGGAATGCTATCCACTGGACCGCCAGGGAATTCCCTCTGCTCTTCTTTATTATTACAATACTAAGGTCGAGTGTCAGTTGACATTTATTATTTCAGTGTTTTCCCATTCATCTTCACTTGCTTGGTAATTACTAGCCCAGGTCCAAATTCTTTGGTTGAACTGGACTTTGATTGTACCTTACCAGAGAGGTCATTATAAAACAGTTCAAGCAGTAGGTAAAACCACTCTCTGTTGAACAATGAAAAGGAGACTGTGAATTTTGCATCTAGCTTACTGAGTTCTGGTTTTAGCAGTATTTTGTCAGTCTGTGTTTTTGGTGTTTAGTAGTTTCTGGATCATATAAGTGCTCAATACTTCTAAAAAGTTGACTTGAAGAGCATGATTAGTCAGTTGTATGGAACTGCTCTTCACACCTGCCAAAGAGAAAGACCAAAATGACTAGGTCCTCTCTCTGTCACCTCTGCCCAGCTCTTAAGATTGACATTTTATCTCATTCTAGTCAGGCCAAACTTGCCAATGTTGGACCAAATTCTTCTGCTAAGTTTCACTATTTCTTTGTCCAGTCAATCCAAAGAAAAATTTTTGTATACCTCTTATTGACCTTCTTCTATCTTAGATAATGTTTTCCCTTTTCTTTCTAATTTAGGTATCTTTTGGATAATCCTGACGTTGTCAGAGGAAAATCTGTGTTAGATATTGGGAGTGGTTGTGGAGCTACAGCTATCGCTGCTAAGATGAGTGGAGCTTTAAGGATCTTGGCCAATGACATAGACCCTAGTAAGAATTTCACATTTTAAAATATTTGAAGCTCATCTTTTTCTCTTCCAGGATAAATATCTACAGATGCCTCAACCCATCATAGCCTAGCCCATTTCCATGTGAATCTTATAATCTGATATTGTGAACTTACTCAGTGGGACATTATCTGTGGGAATCCTCTGAGGCCTGAGTTGATGGTGCATTTTTCACAGGAGGACTTCCATTTGTGTCTGGCACATATACCAAAGTGATTCCAACCTGGGAGCACTTAACTGTTGGTCATTGCTGAGCTAGGCATTTCCTGAAATATGTAGGTAGTGTTTATTTGACCAAAACCCAAGTGAAGATAGGCCGGTGTCTTTGAGGGAGATTTTATTCCATTCGAACCCAAGTTGAGACAGGTAAGGTTTAATTTTATCTGATTTTCTTCTAGTCTTCCCTTTCACTGAGGATCTAGCCCTTGAGGAGCTTTATTGTATATGGGGGTCTCAGGTCCAACTTGTCATCCTGCTGCACAAGGCTTGTAGATCAGCAAATGTTCCTTAAAACCTCAACATTTCCAGGTGTTTGGTATTGTTTTCTTTTCAGGATATTCATATATTTGAGAATTGCAGGAAATAGCTTATATTGGCATATACTTTAGGCTTCTTTACCTAAAAAAACAACTTTCAACAGAATGGGAAAAAAATATTGTTGGAGATTTTCTAGATTATTTAAATTAATTAATAGGGAATTAAAACAACTTAGCATATACCAATTCACTATGTGCTTTTTTAAAGTTGCAGGAATGGCTATTACACTAAACTGTGAGTTGAACCAACTGAATCCTTTTCCCATTTTAACCAAAAACATGCTGGATTTGGAACAAGATAAGTGGGACCTTGTTGTGCTTGGAGATATGTTTTATGATGAAGACCTTGCAGACAGTCTACATCAATGGCTGAAAAATTGCTTTTGGGTCTACAGAACTCGAGTACTGATTGGTGACCCTGGGCGACCCCAGTTCAGTGGACATAGAATTCAGCATCAACTGCACAAAGTAGCAGAATATTCACTTCCAGAGCCCACTAGGCAGGAGAACAACGGACTGACAACAAGCACGGTGTGGGAATTTCAGCCTTGAGCTGTTGCAGTACCTCCAATATGGATATAGCTATGTTTGGGTTTAACCCTAAAGACTGTCCAGTTCAAAGAAGGAAATTTGTGTTAAATGGCAAATCTTGTTTCCAAAATATGAAGGTTGAAGTTTTGTCACCCTTTGTCATGTAACTTGTTCTGCAGTAAGCCAAATATAGAAATCTCTATCTGTAATTTTTTTCTAGTTTTACTGCTATAGGAATATAATTATAGAAGGCAATATCCACGTGTAATTCAAGTAGCTGAATTAGATATTTTAGCAGAGTCTCTTTCTATAGTTGAGGACAACTGTGATGTATCTTTGAATTAAACAAAATAAAAAATACAGAAGAATACTGTATTTAAAAAAAATTATCTGTTAAGATCAGAGATGCAGTTGGTATGGTACAGAATACAGTAAGTCCCCTACATACGAACCTTCAAGTTGTGAACTTTCAAAGATATTAAAGTGCCCCTGGATGCCAGCTGTTGTACTGTACTACCGTACTTTTCAAGGTACTCTACTGTAAGATTAAAAATGTTTTATTTTTTGTATGTTTTTTATGATTATTTGTGTGAAAAGTATTATAAACCTATTACAGTAGAATACTGTATAGTTGATTGTGTTAGTTGGGTACCTAGGCTAACTTTGTTGGACCTACGAACCCACTCTCGTAATGGAACTCGTTCATATGTAGGGGACTTACTGTACATGGGCTTCGGAGTGAGGCCACTCTGTCACTTTCTAGTTGGGATTTTGGGCTAGTTAAGCTCTCTGAGCTTTCATTTCTTCACCTATAAAATAGTAATAAAATTTAATAAACTGCACCTCAAAGGGTTATTATAATAAAGTATAAAGTGTGTAATATAGGATAAGTACATAATAGGGCATCAGTTAAGAAACACAGATAAAGATTTTAGAATTTCCTACATACTCAGTACTGTGATACCCTATGATGCCTCTTTATGGTTTACTAAGGTCAGTTAGAAATTGGTTATGCCACCACTACATGCCCCAGCTTGTCAGGATCTTATATATCAATAAGAACATTAGGACATAAATGAAAAACAATGTGAAGAATGTGTACAGTATACACTAGTTATGTAAAAAAGATGTATGTATATACCTACCTATGAACGTATGTGTAAAGAATGCATATTTACTTGTAGTAGATATAGAATATCCCTGGAAAGAACTGGTAACAGTGGTTGTCTTCTGAGAGGGTACCAGGTGGCTGGTGGATGAGGGTGGTAGGGAGACCTAGTTCTTACTTTTGGGTCTTGTAATTTCGTACCGATTACATGTATTATATTTCCTATTCTCCAATTTAAAACAAAACGTGACCACGATATATGTTACAGGTATAAAACGCAGCCTTGCGAATGTACCGTTGACGCTTGTACAACCTGGGCGTTAGGGGTGCTGACTACCCCACCCACCCCCTGGAGTTGAAAATCTATGTATAACTTTACAGTCCGCATCCAAGTTTCTGCATCCGGGGATGGATCGTGTAGTACTGTAGTATTTATTGAAACAAACCAAACAAAAACACATACAAGTGCAGTTCAAACCCGTGTTGTTCAAGGGTCAGCTGTACTCTCGTGTTCTCATATATTGCTTAGGAATTGTTTATGACACTTGCATTTTATGTTTTCTAACAATACACACATGCCAGTGGGATTAGGATACCAGGGAGACATGATCAGAGCTACAGTCATTCAAAAGAAATGTAGAGAAAGCAGTTAAGGGCAGGTTGTTGCTTAGGCAGGAAAACAATATCATTAGGTGGGAGTTTTGGAGCTGGGTCACAGAGGATCTTGTGATTCTTGAACTCTGGAAGTCAGAGTTTATTACAACCCAATGAATCAACTCTTGTTGTATCCAATTTCCATCGGTCTACTGGGGCTTAATTATAAACTCAAAATTTTGATTCAGCATTGGTTAAAATCAATGGAAATGATAGGCTACGGTGGCACTGGATGGCATTTGAGAGGAAAGAGTTTTGTTGACATATTCTTTGAAAATTCAGGATAGTCTGCTGGGTATTGTCCTTCTCAGCAAGATAAGACAGAGAAAATTAAAGGAAATTATACTCTGGAGCACTGTTGGAAATCAGCTTGAAGAGGCCAAGAGTAGATTTAATTTTAAATATCTACATGGGACTTCCCCGGTGGTCCAGTGGTTGACAATCTGCCTTCCAATCCCTGGTTGAGGAACTAGGATCTCATATGCCGCAGGGCAGCTAAGCCCACGCATCACAACTAGAGAGAAGCCCAAGCGCCACAATGAAAAGCCTGAGCGCCGCAACAAAAGATCCCGCGTGCCGCAACTAAGACCCAACACAGCCAGAAATAAATATCTACAACACTGTTTCTGTTATCCTTTCTTAAGTATTTATGAGGAGGGTACAAGAAGGTCTTTGAGACGTCCAAATATTGCTTAAAATATTTTTAAATTGCCCATATATATATAACAGTGATCCTTGAAATGACTTCATAGCATAACAAACATGTTTGTATTAAGACTGTTCACGTTTAAAGAGATTATTGATAAAGTTGGATTAATTTCTACCATATTTATAACTGTTCCCTATTCGTTGCCTTTGTTGTTTCTTTTTTGTGGTCTACTTTTTCTGCCTTTTCTGGTTTTATCTTTTTTTTGTGTGCTGCGTCTCATGGCTTGTGGGATCTTAGTTCCCTGACTAGGAATCACACCCCAGGCCCTCGGCGGTGAGAGCACAGAGTCCTTAACCACTGGATCACCAGGGAATTCCCCCCTTTCTGGTTTTAATTGAGGATTTTATGTGATTCCATCTTCTCTCCTCAGGATGTCAGTTATATTTATTAAAAAAAGTGTTTTAGCAGTTGCCCTAGAGTTTGCAGTGTATATTTACAACTAATACAAGTCCATTTTGAAATAAACACTGTACTGCTTCATGATTTTCAGTTTGTTCAGCTTTTATCTTGTGAGGACAGGAGTGATGACATCTAATCTCTGTACGTCACAGACCAGAAACTTGAAGTATGGGTATTACTTTTATTTATTTTCTTGTCTATTCATTCAACAAATACTTGGGTGCTTATTATGTACCAGACACTGTTCTAGGTATTGGAGATACAGCAGTGAAAAAAAGAGAAATAATTTGTCTTCATGAAGCTTATATACTAGGGTGGGGAGACAGATAACAAATAAAAAATAAAACATGTCAGATGGTGACAGGTGGCAAGGGGAAAAATAGAGTCTAGAGTGACAGATAAGGGTGACAGGGATAGGTAGGATAGGGATGGGAGACCCAAATTTTAAACAGAGTGCCGAGAAACAGCTAAGGTAACTAGCAGTATAAAAAAAGAAGGTCAAGCTGCAAACGGCTTTAGGATGATGAGTCCTTTATAGACTCTACAAACCTGATACCTTAGATCTTGAAACTAGTTTCCCCCAAAGCGGAAAAAGCTATTGACTTGGTTAGGTGTTCAATATTAAATCTTACTGAATTTGTCTTCAGAAAAATTTCATAGATGGAACAGGCCTTACCCATTTTACACATATATACATATGAACCACCTTTGCAGTGGCAATATATGTTATCTACGCTATAAACATATCACATTTATAAAGTAGTTAATAGTAAGGACAAGGAGTAGAGTTGAATATGTAAACCCTTCCTTCTAAACATATACAAGAAATCTACCATACCACACTTTCCCTGTTATTCACTACATCACAGTTAAAATAGGAAATCTTTAGAAAAGTCCGACTGAGACAGGCTCATGGCACAGGGAATATGCTGAATTTGGGGGTAGTTTAAGCACAGTATACTTCAGAGAATTTTGTGATTATAGAGAGTAATACATTTCATTTGAAAACTAAGACCTGTGTGTTTATTTCACAATGTGAAACCAGTAGAGCTTCAGGATACAACCTCTGTGATGACATTTCGTGTTTACGCATTCTTACACATTCTTGACTGCAGTTTTTAAGGACGAAAGTTTGTAGATGAATAGCATGTATTTGGGAAAAGTAGCCATACTCAGTAACATTCATATGCTGAATGGCTAAGGTATATGATGTCCTGGATTATGACATTAAACTATTATATTCCTTTGTTTCATTGAAATAATAAATTCTGTGAAGAAGTTACAGGCCTGATGTTCAGCTTTGCTTTCTGGCCAGTGGACATTTAAATAATTTGGAAGGTAGCAGCCAAAAAATAGCTAGGTAGGTAATTAATGCTTTTAGAAATACCTTTACTTAGAATTCTCCTAATGTTTATCCATATTGGTAAATTTCTCTTACAGCAGCTCAAATATCTAGGTAGGAGAAGGAAATTTCCAGGGAAAACAGGTAATTTAAAACTTTGCTATTAAAGAAACAAACACAATACCCTCCCCAAATACATCAGAGGGCATGCTAGGATTGTCATTTCAAGAACAATCACTCCTCAAACAAACTTAGAAATAACAGCACTATTAAAATGTTTAAGAGCCTGGTTAACTTCAAAGCATAAATCATATTATTGGAAAGCCAATCTCTAGAGCGTTGTTTCCTGGGAAAGTTGTATGAAGATCATAGCTTTGATAAGCTTCAATAAGCATCAATATACAGTCCACGTCACTTGCTTTAGTTTGTTTGGGCCTGCTAATTGCTCCAAGACTTCTCGTGAATGATCTACAAAAGAAAACAATGACAATATATTAATTCACAGTAATCAAAGATATTGAATGTGTCCTCATGTATAAACTGGGGATGATGATAACTATTATATCTCATAGGGTTATTTAAAGGATTAAATGAGATGATATATAAAGCATACTATAAGCTAAAAATACATTTAATTAGTGGTAACCATCACTATTATTAGCTGCAGTAAACATATCATAGTAATACTTCTAAAAAACAGGTATTTACTGTTTTCTCTGTAATTTCATCTTAATTTCACCAACCAGAGAGTAATAGGGTTAAAGTTTCTCAGGGTCCTGGCAGGAAGTAGATGACACACTAAACTAGGGTGCTTGAACAGGTTTTAACTACAAAGGAGTGATTAAAGAAAACATGATTAAAGAAAGCCAACAGGTATGGTAAAACACCTTGGGAAGCTGCAACATGCCCATGAGGGTTAGGGGACAGAGTAGTTACTAAAACAGGACAACTTGACCTGTAGTTGAACATTTTTCCATGTCATATAATATTTATAAAACATGATTTTAAATAGATAACTATTACATGAATTCCTTGTAATTTAACCAATCTGTATGACTGGACATTTAGATGGTTTTCAATTATTCACAATATATAGCAGTGATTTTAATATAGTTTACATATCTTTTGCAAAGTCAGTTTTATAGTATCTTTTAATGCTTTTAATGCTTTAATGCAAAAATACTGCTAAAATTTTATTACTTTAAAAATTATTCAGGAGTTTAATAAACTTGTTCCATAGATACAACCTATGTTGTGTGTATAACATATCTCTAACCTAGTCTTGGGAAATTTCTAGTTTAGTCGTTCTCAGACTTAAAGATTTCGTAGACCACTAGGAAAAAAAGCAGGCCCAACACATGGTTACTAAGTTTTATTTTAAGTAAAACAAAAATAAGCCAAAACATTAAAGATTTAGTGCAAGAAAGAGAACTAGAGAGTGTTTGGAAACAAGAAGTTATAGTTGTGAAAACAAAGGTTTACTTCAGCAGGTAATTTTTTTAAAAGCAGCTAAAAATATAACAAATGCGCAGTTTTCATTGTCATAAAAAATATCAGTTATTATAGAGGAAGTCTGTTATTACAGGAGATCTAGATTAAGGACAGGTTTCAAATAGGTTGAAAGTAAAGGGATGGAGAAAGATATATCATGCAGACAGCAACTGTAACAAAGCTGTAGTGGTTATACTAATAGAAAAGGGAGGAACACTTTCCAACTTACTCTATGAGGTCAGTATTACCTTGACACCAAAGCCAGACAAAAACATCACATACACAAAAAACAACAGACCAATATTTTTTATGAACATGTACTCAAAAATCCTCAATAAAACACAAGCGAACCAAATCTAGCAACACAGAAAGGGTTACATGCCATGATCAACTGGAATTTACCCCAGGAATGCAAGGTTAGTTTAACATCTGGAAATCAATTAATGTAGTACACTGTATTAGTTTCCTCTTGCTGCTGTAACAAATAACCACAACCTTAATGGCTTAAAACAACACAAATTTATTATTGTACAGTTTTGAAGGTCAGAATTTCAAAATGGGCCTTCCTGGGCTAAAAGCAGGTATTAGGAGCTTAGAGTTCTTTTTGGAGGCTCTAGGGGAGAATCCACCTCCCTGACTCTTCCAGTTTCTAAAGGCCACCACATTCCTTGAATTCCTCCATATTCAAAGTGAGCAACATTGGACAAAGTCTTTCTTATGCTGCCATCTCTATGGTTCTCCTTCTGTCTCCCTCTTCTACTTTTAAAGACCCTTATGATTACATTGGGCCCACCTGGATAATCCAGGATAATCTCCCTATTTTAAGGTCAATATACTTGTAGGTTCTGAGCATTAGAACATGGACATCTTTGGGTGGGGGCATATTTCTGCCTATGGCACCCATATTAATAGAATAAAGGACAAAAACGACATGATCATTTCAATAGACACAGAAAAGGCATTTTATAAAATCCAACATTCATGATAAAAACATTCAACAAACCAGAAACAGAAAGGAACTTCCTCAACCTGATAAAGGGCATCTATGAAAAACCCACCACTAACATCACCCCTAATGGTGAGAGACTAAATAATTTCCCCCTAAGATCGGGAACAAAGATAAGGATTTCCCTGGGGCTTCCCTGGTGGTGCAGTGGTTGAGAGTCCGCCTGCCGATGCAGGGGACACGGGTTTGCGCCCCAGTCCGGGAATATCCCACATACCGCGGAGCAGCTGGGCCCGTGAGCCATGGCCGCTGAGCCTGCACATCCGGAGCCTGTGTTCCGCAACGGAAAAGGCCAAAAAAGTGAGAGGCCCGGGTACCCCAAAAAAAAAAAAAAAAAAAGATAAGGATTTCTCCTTTTGCCACTTTTATGCAACACTGCACTGGAGGTTCTAGCCATGGAAATTAGGGAAGAAAAAGAAAAGGCATCCATGTTGGAAAGGAAAAAGTAAAACTCTTTATTTGTAGTTAGGTAATATGGTACTAAGGAATCCACTAAAAATTAGAACTAATAAATGATTTCAGCAAGGTTGCAGGGCACAAGATCAATATACAAAAATCAATTTATTTCTACACAATGAACAATCCAAAAATTAAAAGCAGCTCTTTGTCCTTTTCCTGTTTGCCCATTTGGGTTCCCCTCTAACCTTAAAAGAACCTAATTATAGAAATGAGATCACTAAGCAATTGAAACTAACTCCTGACTTATGCTCTCCTGAACGCACATCATGCCTTGTCTAACCTGTTGATTCTTTTCCTAGACAAAAAGAAGTAAGTATGAAGAATTAAGCAGTTAAAAAAGTGACTTGCTTTCTACCCGCAACAGCTCCCTTAGCAATCCTACAGGCAGACCATGCAGGCAAGGCTTTCTTCTCTCTGAAGAAAGAGTCAGCCAGTCTGCACTCAATGGAGAATGATGCAAAACCCAACCTCATGCCTCAATGATTCAATGAGATTCTTTCCCCCATTTTTCCATTTAAAAACTCTCATGGCTGAGCAGAATCTTTGGAGTTGGTCTCTGGACATGAGTTTACCATCTCCCCAGATTGCTATCTTTTCTTTATCTTTCTTCTTCTTCTTCTTATTTTTGGTCACATCGTGTGGCTTGCAGGATCTTAGTTCCCCGAGCAGAGATTGAACCCGGATCCTTGGCAGTGAAAGCACAGAGTCCTAACCACGGGACCGCCAGGGAATCACCCTGTCTTTTCTGATTAAAACACCTTTTTTTTTCTTAATGGTGATATCTTTTTATTTTTTCTATTATTTATTTATTTTTGGCTGTGTTGGGTCTTTGTTGCTGCAGGTGGGCTTTCTCTAGTTGCGGTGAGAGGGGGCTACTCTTCCTTGTGGTGTGCGGGCTTTTCATAGAGGTGGCTTCTCTTTGTTGCAGAGCACAGGCTCTAGGTGCATGGGCTTCAGCAGTTGTGGCTCGCGGACCCTAGAGCACAGGTTCAGTAGTTGTGGCGCACGGGCTTAGTTGCTCCACGGCATGTGGGATCTTCCCGGACCAGGGCTCGAACCCATGTCCCCTGCATTGGCAGGCAGATTCTTTTTTTTTTTTTTTTGCGGTACGCGGGCCTCTCACTGTTGTGGCGCACAGGCTCTGGACGCGCAGGCTCAGCGGCCATGGCTCACGGGCCCAGCCACTCCGCGGCATGTGGGATCTTCCTGGACCGGGGCACGAACCCGTGTCCCCTGCATCGGCAGGCGGACTCTCAACCACTACGCCACCAGGGAAGCCCGGCAGGCAGATTCTTAACCACTGCGCCACCAGGGAAGTCCCAAAGCACCTTTCTTTTCTACTGACAGTTGCCTCTTGAATTATTGGCATATTAGTGGCAAGCAGCCAAACCTGGGTTCCGTTACAAAATGAAATTAAGAAAATAATTTCATCTACATTACCATCAAAAAGAATAAAATAGGGCTTCCCTGGTGGCGCAGTGGTTGAGAGTCCGCCTGGACACGGGTTTGTGCCCTGGCCCGGGAAGATCCCACATGCAGCGGAGTGGCTGGGCCCGTGAGCCACGGCCGCTGAGCCTGCGTGTCCGGAGCCTGTGCTCCGCAACGGGAGAGGCCACAACAGTGGGAGGCCCGTGTACCGAAAAAAAAAAGAATAAAATACTTAGGAATACGTTTAACAAAAGAAATGAAAAACTTATACTCTGAAAACTACAAAACATTGTTGAAGGAAATCAAAGAAGATCTAATAAATGGAAAGATGTCCATGTTCATAGATTAGAAGACTTAGTATTAAGATGGCAGTACTCCCCAAACTGACTACAGATTCAATGCAATCCCTAGCAAAATTCCAGCAAACTTTTTAAAAAGAAATTGACAAAACGATTCTAACATTTACATAGGAATTCAAGGGACCCAGAAGAGCCAACACAGTTTTGAAAAAGAACAAAATTGGAAACGTGTACTTCCCAATTTCACTTTAGCTGGTGTTTCTAAGACTATTTTGGCATTTTTACTAGTTATGAATATATTATCAAATATTATATGTAAATATTTGTTTTCTGACTATATTTGTCACTCTTCTGTAGGAATTTATTATTGTACATAAATAGAAAAACACTTTTCCCTCTAGTTGTGAGCATACAGTATATTTTTATGTAATTTTAAAAACTGGATGCTAGAGGGCAGTATTACATTACTCAAAGTCTCCTCAGGCAGCTTTTCTTTTCCCCATAAAAGTATACAGTATTTAGAGCAGTGAGTCAATAGTAGGAATATTCGATGCCTGTAAGTTTATTACGCTATAGGGAGAAACTGTGGGGTCTCTAAGTATTTCATATCTCTTGCCAGAATACTCTGTAGAAATTGTGGAGGAGGAAGAATAATTTTCTCTTTACCCTTCTGAGTTCTTGGCTGAGATCCCCTGTGACCAAAGACAGACAAGAGAAAAACAAACAGAAGTTTATCAACAAGTATACTTCATGTATACATGGGAGATACCCAGGAAAAATGAGTA